TTTGAGACCAGAATGAACTTGGTAACATATTAACGACCTAAGATATACTTATTTTAATAAAAACTTATATCTAAAAAGTTAAATTTAATATTGTGATATGGTTTGTAGCTCGTTTGTAATCATCCGATTTTAATGATCAATAGCTCAAATGTAAACCCTTTTATCACAGAATATTTTAAGGCTAGAACTAACTGCAAGCGTAAGTAAAAACTGGAGATATAAGAGAAGTTATCTTAAAAAATGTTCAAACTACGAAACGTCCTTAAGAAATGTATGGGGGGGGGGGGGGGGTGCAGCAAAATTTTTTTTTTATTTATGACAACAAATTGTGCTGCACCCTGTTGGTAAACCTATTAACTTTTTAATGCCATTGAACATCACAGAATCAAATTGTTTAGTTGAACCAGCTGTTAATATTCTTTATTCCATTTAAATATGAGTACTCATAAGGTTAACATGGGAAACTCCAGAGCCACTGGGGCGGAGCCCTTATGACGGATCTGCACCAAACTTCACACAAACCATCCTTGAATAATGCTTAATAATGCCTGAAAGTTTCATTACAATCTGTCGACCGGTTTCGGAGTCCATAAAGGACAAACAAACAAACATACATACAAACAAACATACATTGGATTTTATATATATATAACAGCTAATTTGCAACCAAAAGGTGAGTGAGTGTAGCGAACGAACTTCAACCTAGAGGCGAGTTAGCGTAGCGAACGAGCTAACCGGAAGGCAAGTGAGCGCAGCGAACGGGCTCCAACCTAAAGGTGAGTGAGCGTAGCGAACAAACTTCAACCAGGACGTGATTGAGCCATGCGAACGAGCTCATCTTGAAAATGAACGAGCATTTGATATAAAACCACATTAGGACAGGACGACGTCTGTCGGGCCAGCTAGTTATATATAAAGATTACACATCTAACATAGCCATAATGTTTTACCACTTCACCTAAACAATAGAAAAAAGTAAATTATCAAATTTCGCAAAATATCACAAATTACTCTTGAAATTAAAAACATAAACATAACTGTAAACAATCCTACTTTAACAGTTAGTTCTCATTACGTACGTTACATTACTCTTACTAATATTATAAATGTGAAAGTTTGTGTGTTTGTTTATTTGTGTGTTTGAAGTTCAATCACGCATGAACCACTAGACGGATTGGGCTGAAATTGGGCATTATGATAGCTTACATTCCCGATTAACATATAGGCATATTCTTATCTCAAAAATCCTTTCGGGCTCCGCCCCAGTGGCTCTGTAATTCCCCATGTTAACCTTAGGCTAGGGCCACACTTGGCGACTTTGTCGCGGCGACAAAGTCGCGGCGTCAATGAATGAAAGTCCGTAGCATTAAAATAAATGGAAGCGGCCATACTAAGCGACCCGCGACCAGCGATTACCGGCGACAGAAAAATAAACGCGACCGGGAGCGTTTTTCGGTCGCAGCGACAAATACGCTCCCCATGTTATTTTACGGCACCGGCCATACTAGGCGACAAGTCGCTCGCTCACACCCCCTTTGCTGCTCTATTTTCATATCTATATTTTTAAGTTTTGGACTGGCATGGAAAATATGCTTTTAAAATACAAATATTTTCATCGACAAAATAAGTGTCGGCATGTTTACATGTGTCCTGTAGCATATATGAGATTTAACTCGTCTGGTATAACAGGAAACCAAAACCTCGTGTATTTTTCAAATGTCGTGCGTCGTCTTCAATGTCATTAGCTTGCCAAAGCTATGCTCATAAAAAAATACTACAAAGAAGTTATAATATCAAAAACGCCATCCATAAACAATGATGTTTCAGGAAATTTGCTCCACACCTGTGGTTTCTCATCCTTTTAGCGAATTTCCCATATAGAGATATTATTACGGTTGCATAGTAGGACCTAAGCCCGGGACCGACTTAATTTTTCGTTTTGAGGTCCTCAGAGGCAAAAACGCCCTCCGTTCAAATTCATATAGTAAATATTAGGGATGGACGAGATTGGATTTTTTAGTTCGAGACGAGACGAGACGAGATTTTTTATTTCTCATAAAATTTCGAGACGAGATCGAGACGGGATTTCCCTTCTCATACACAACGGGAAATGCACGTTCGGAATTTTTACCTGATTTTGTAACATTGTTAGATGACTGTTTAAATACAAAAATAATGATAATAGGCAAGAATATTTACAATCTTTTATTAAAAAACATCAGCATAACATTTTTTATTAATCACGCCTAAATTATTAAAAATGCCTACGATTAGGAAACATAGTGATATCAGTTAGGATAGAGTTCAACTTTTCCTAAAATAAAATAAATCATAGAATAAAATATTAATTTTTATAAAATAGTTACTTGTTTTGACTTTTTTTATAGTAATAAAACATTCCTCACACTGCTAACACTTAACAAAACTTCTCAAATGTGATTAAAATAATTAAAGTAATATTTACATTTGAAGAATTAATTAAATAAGAACGCCTTCGCAAAGGAAACGCAACTACAACACGCTCCTGTATTGCGGGTATTGCATTGACTTTCTGCAGGCGTTTTAAATTTTTTTTTTTTTTTTTTTTTTTTTTTTTAATTCTCGTCTCGATAAAAATCTCGGCCAAAAAGAAATCTCGTCTCGTGTAACGAGATTTAAAATTTCCCGAAAATTTCCCGAAATTTCGAGACTTGACCATCCCTAGTAAATATGTATCTATATACATATGCAGTGTGTATATTTTATGTTTATATAGGTCTATGTGCCCATTAGGGCGATAATTTAAGCAAAATTGATGAGATTTTAATGGTATTTGGTACAAATCTTTAAACCAACAGTAATTCAAACGGGCTCGCAAATTAGAATGATCAGACTATGAGAATAAGGCCTTAATAAGGTTTTAAGGGGCTTTATTGGGGTATAACATTAGTTCTTTCTTATTTTTGACCCTAAAACATAAATTTCACAATTCCCTTCCAAACTGTTTTGTTAGCTAAAAAAATAAATACTTTTGTACATTTTAAGTGGTGTTGTAAGCCGTTACGGAGATAATTTAAACAATTATAAATTTATAATGCCTGTTTTTATGGAGAATAAACTGTTGTAGTTTGCTTGTTTATATATTTTAATAACATTTTGCAATATTGTTAATTTCGTACTAAGCTATCAAAATTTTAATTAACAAGCACAATTCATTAGGTTACCTTATCTGTACCAACAAACCTAAGCATTAATTAAAATTCATCTTATATAAATTGGAAATAAATCCGACAAGTTTAAGTGAATATTTTAGTGGAAATCTAGCCAAACAAATGTAAATTCGCTTAGTCTGCAGGTTTTTTGCGGCGGGGGTATTTAGATATACAAGAGATAGCAACATCAAGCATTAAACAGTGATCTGACGATTTAGACGTCCACATTGGTTTTAGAAACATAATTTAACACTTTAATTTAGTAAAAATTGTATTCCTTTGTTGCTGGTAAATGGTTAAAAACTATTACGTGACCTAGTGCGAAATATAAAGAGGCACCGGTGCACGTACGAAAATACTTTAACTATATGATTTAATTTGTAATATTCGCTTGAATTGTATGATACTGCAAATAATAGTAAAAAACATCAATGTATTCTAAGATCATCCAAAAACATACATAAACAGTCATAGATCCTAATTTATTTCCATAATCAATTACACGATTTTAAGAAAACAATATAACATCTTGAAACTCTATTTTTACTGGTATGGTAAAAAGTAAACTGAAAGGTTGAAATTGTCGCCTATTGTGGCCACCCCCAGCGACTTTGTCGTCGTGACAAAGTCGTGGGAAAAAAAGTCGCCGCGACAAAGTCGCCAAGTGTGGCCCTAGCCTTATGAGTATTCATATTTAAAGGGAATTAAAGAATTTAGTCAGCTGTTTTAACTAAAAATGTTAATTCTATGATATGCAAAACCATTAAAAAGTTATAAGATTTACCAACAGGGTGCAGCACTATATATTTTTGCCATTTATGAAAACAGCTAATTTGAACTAAGCAGCAGCAAAAAACTGTGATACGTAATGAGAACTAACTGTCAAAGTAGGATTGTTTACAGTTATGTTTATGTTTTTCATTTCATGAATAATTTGTGATATTTTGCGAATTGTTGATAATTTATTTTTCTTTATTGTTTAGGTGAAGTGGTAGAACATTATGGCTATGGTAGATGTGTAATACTATAGAATACTGTAAATTTAAAAAAGCAAATTTTATCAAACTCTGTCCTCCAATATTGCAAACGCAAAGCTTCAGTATAACTGCAATAAGCATTTTATACTTATATTCCAACCCTGTACGAAGGACAGGTACTCTGCTAGTTTATAATATTAGTAAGATTTATGAATACGAATATATAGATGTTGGTTGGTAAACTCTCACCTCAGAACTTTGAAAGGCCACGGGGAAGATTCCTAGGTCAATATCGAAACGGGAATAGTTCTATATGTATCCTGGGAGCTGTAGCTTTATTTTTGTCCAATTTGAGCCAAGTCGGTTTAAGAGTAGTTTTTGAGTTTAGCTCATACAAACACACACACACAGACAGACAGACAAACACCACCTATTCTTTATACAGTAATAGAATAGAAGATAGATAAATAAAATTAAATATTTTATTTGTAGAAAAAGAACATATTTCGTCCCCTAAGGGACTTTGTCAAGTGTAGAGAAAGAGTTTATAAATTACAAAATGGCTGCTCTTTCTCTACACTTGACAAAGTCCCTTAGAAATATTGTGTGCACAGTGTTTTTATACTTGTTCCATGGCCTACCCACACTTTCAAGGTATGCTAGCTGCTATCCTCCTTTTTCTACAATTTAAAATCCTGGCCTAGAGCCTTTCCTTAAACAAAACTAAAATTAAATATTTATAATTTGTAAAAAAAAATCCATTTTGCTCGCTAGTTACACAATTACTACTAAACAGGAATAACTGTAGTAACAAAATTAATTAAAAACTTACCTAACCATTTGACGTTACGAGCTCCTACAATACCAGGCACTACTACGCGGATCGGGTAGCCATGATCTCTTGATAATGGTTGTCCGTTCATCTCATAAGCTAATAACACATCTCCCCTTGGGTCCATACCCTTCTCCACAGGTATTGAAGCTCCATAAGGAGAATTAGATACATCTGTATCCAAGCCTTCAAACTGAAAAATAGTAAATTAAATACAAAAATAAAAATACATTTCTGATTTCAAAAGAGTTGTATGTACGCTTTTATCATGGTAGACATTTCTACAAGCGGGGGATTAGAGACGCTTATGGTACATTGTAGCTCAAGGTGGTTTGGTGTTGAATCTAAAAGAATGGGCTATTAGTTCAAACTTGATCAATCTACTTAAAAATTATTGAAGTTGATTTTAATAACTGAGGTGAGGTTCATTTAAGAAAAACCTCTAATCTATTAAATAAAGTCAAAAAACATTAATACAAAAACTCTACCTATAAAGGTCTCATTGCTAACAGATTGTTGCAAATTCCCCCTTAAAGTTTGCATCTTCTATTCAGGCATATCATTTGGAAAGTCAATTGAAGTAGGCTACTTAATTTCATGCATGTAATCAATCAGTTTAGTATATAAAGTATGTTAAATTATAATCCATTAAAATCCAACTCAAATTAGTTTTGGCTTTTATTTGTCACAAAATATATCATCTAACCTGTATATGTTTAGCCCTGGGATCATCCTCCTTGAGTCCCAGAGAAGTAAGCACATCATACAGTCTCGCACCCGACCAGACAGCATTCCCTATAGCTGCAGATCCCCAGTCTAGACCTTTCACTGTCTTAACCTAGATAGGGAGTAAATCATAGGCTAAAATTAATTATAGGTTCAAACATAATAGATGAAAAATCAAACACAAAGATGTATAGTTTTTAGCACAGGTTACTGCCTCTATTTCAGGTTATTTCTACAATCCTTGTATTACCTGTAGATGATAGCTGCTAAGCTTTGCATAGCAGTTTTTGGTCATGTGGCCTAACCTCTGCTGATATTTGTAGCTTCTGACTACATAAGTCCTTTTCATATTCATATTCATATTCATATTCTAACATCTTTATTCGTCATAAATCCTGTAGGCCTAAATTGGTGGTACAGTGAATAGTGTCAGAATACTTAAAATAAAAATACTATTTCTATTTATGGGAGGTGGAAAACTCGTCAAAAGAATGTAACTTAATGCTAGATTTATTATATTCTCTTTTGAAATTTTCTTGAATTTAGATAGGTTTGTTTCTTTTTTTATGAATTCAGGGACATATTTTTGAAAATTGTTACCAGCACATAAGGTTTTTTTTTCAAAAAATTGTAATTTTTGAGGCTGGACAAACTCCTTTTTCCTCCTGAAATTATAAGAATGCACTGAATTTATTATACTTGCTCACATTCCTTTTTTTACAATAAAAATTGTTTCATAAATATATTGCCCATAAACTGTAAAATTTGTAATTTCTTAAAATAATGTTCTTTTGCCCAATCATCTCGTTCTCACTTTTGCGCTACAGCATTATCACTGGATGAAAATGAAATTCTTGCCAACACAGTCAGTTATGCTGCACATCCATAACTATAAGCACAAAGGAGGATTTTGTTCCAGCCTATGATTAAGCATCATTGTCGTTTCGTTATACTTTAAATTCTTGCTGAAATTATTCCCTCTCAGTAAAATATCATGTGTTTCTTTAGTAGACTCATTCCACATCATCCTACAGTTGCATACTCTCATAGTAAACCATGATGACCTGTGTTTATCTAAAGAGTTTTTGCAACTTCCAACCCCATTGTCTGCAAGTGATTTTCTCACGAGATTGTTACCTTTTTCCAAATTTGTTTGTTAACCTCAGATATTCACAAACTTTTATATTTCTAGTTTTTTTGTGGCTTCACAAGGTTCAAAATAGTTTTTACCTCCTCATTTTCTTTTGATTTATGCCACCCCAAACACCTGTTCAACTGTAGTCTCTAGCAGTCTCTATACCGTAGTACCTTACCGTAGCAGTACTTTAGCCTCTATGATAACTTTTTTATACTCTTAGCTATAGCATCTGTGCAGAATTTTAGTCAATTAGGGGCTTCCTCTTTGATTCTTTTCAATATCTCCTTCCGAACGTTATTATTACTGCTCGTTCTTCCATTTAAGCTTGCAGCTTTGCTTTTTCCTCTCTGGACTTAGTAAGTCCCTCTTAGAACTCGTAAGATTTCCTTTAAAATGTATATAGCTCAAAGGACTCATCGCCATCTTAAGTTTTTAGGGTGCTTGGGTCTATTAGAACCTTCTTAATCATCCATTTTCTAGTCATCACTGTTCATCCTCCGAGACCTTGTCCATTTACATTGCTTTTTGTAGGGGCTCCTTACTTTTCCTGCTTCAGTATTTTAGCATCTGAGTGCAACTAAGCCTGGCTAGTGGTTGTTCAACAACCTGTCTCAATGCTGGTTTCTTCACCATTTTAGTGCCTGGTTATTGTTTTAATGTGGTTTTTAAAACTTTTTGAGAGTATATTATGTTTTACAAATACAGGTTCAACCTGGTAAACTAACCTATGATCAATGAAACAAATACAATCAATGCCCTCCCTGTTCATACTGTATTGGCTTCCATCAAAATAAAGCCCCACGTCCTTGAAGGTTGAAGGTTGTAGTGACCTTTGGAGAAGAAGCTGGTTCGAGTGTTTGCAACCTCACTAGGCTGGTGCAAGAGAGAAAATTATATTATTTTATTAACTCTGCTGCAGTTTAGACCACTAACACAGAAAATATCATATCCAATTAAACTTTGTTGCGGCTTAAAATTAGGTATGCAAAATATTAAAAACGCTGATAAAACAAACTAGTGGCTTGTAGGGACATAAGTCCTTGAAAAACTCAAATGTAAAACAAATTATTGTAATATTTAAACACACTCAGAATCAAATTATTTATGTGTCAGGATATATATCCCAGTACAACATATCTTTTGTGTATAAAATTGTTTGTTGTTTGTGTTTGTTTGCTTTTGTTGATGTTATTTTTAATAAATAATTTAAATTACTCCATAGGTGTAACTCTGCTAAAGGCAGCAAACATGTTTGTGAATAAATATTGGTTTACTAAGGTAGCTTTGGTTTTTTTGATGATAAACAGGCTTTCCTGATTGTAATATTGGAAATTGTCTTTGTCAAATATGAAAAGGCAAATAAAGGTGTGTTGAGATAAGCTTAGTTCTTAGTCAAAACCGCTAAAATAGCACCCCAAACCAGTTATTATTTCTAAGTGTATGCTCCTTTTGTAAAGGTTTAACAAAATTAATGTAAAGTAAAGGTATTCTATTGACCAAACTTAGTGCTAGATTTGTTTCTGATCAACATAATAAAACTACTATTCCAAAGGTCCAAGGGTGCGATTGACTTTACATATTCTATTAAAAAAGGGTCTAATCAACGGCTGATTCCTAACTATTTTGCAACTGGTTAGGGTTCCATTGCCCAGTTATCGAAACCAATCACGAAAATACTTTTCACAGCATATTTGACATGCATATTTTTGGTTAGTTTTAAGAAACTAAAACTACCTCTAGGTTTTACTGTTATATATAGATGCTCCCTTTACCACGGTGCATGCAAGGCTATATAATTTGAACCTTTTTTGCTTGAAACAACAGGCAGTAAGTGGTTAAAATCTCCTTTAACCCTCCAAGTGTCCCTTGTTTTTAAAATCAAATCAAATCAAATTATCTTTATTCACTTTATACATTTTATATACATGAATAGTGTCAAATCATACAACATTAGTTATAAAACTTAATCTAAATGGCTTAACCATAAATTTGACAATTATTTTAGAATGTACAGCCAATTCATTTTTGATTTATAAACTCATCTATACTATAGGGAGCCAGATTAATTAAGAATGATTTTATCTTTTTCAAAAAATTGGGTTTGTTTTGATCTTTTTTTAGTAAGGCAGGCAAACTTCTTATGAATAAATTGCCAATATACGAAGGCTTCATTTTTGAAAGTTTCAGACGATGATGACTTTTTACAGTAAGATTTTTCCACCTTGTATTGTATTTATGGGATACTTCAGTGTTTTTATCTTTATAAACATGCCGAATAGTTTTAAAAATATACAAACCGTACACTGTAAAAATTTTCATTTCTTTAAAGTACTTTTTCACCGACTTCTTATTTTTAAATTTTTCAATAACTCTAATGGCCTGTTTTTGCAGTTTTAAAACCTTTTTCAAATTTTTGTGTGCTGTCCCACCATAAATTTCGATTCCGTAGCCAATATGACATTCTATAAGCGAGTGGTATATCAATTTTAACACAGCTTTATCACAGAGATAAGCCATTGATCTCAAAACAAACAAGCCTGAATTAATTTTACCAACCAAATATGTAATATGTTCATTCCAATTTAGATGTTCATCAATTATCAAGCCTAAAAATTTAGTTGATTTCACTTGATTGATCAGCTTATTATTTAGATTAATTTTAGGGGTTTGATCTTTTTTTATCTTATTTGTATGAAAGAGAACAAAATTTGTCTTGTTTGTATTAAGTGTTAAATTGTTGTTTGTTAAGAATTGTTCAATATTTTTGAGCTCCAATTCAGTAGAATTTTTAATATCAGTAATTGAACTACCCGAAGTTTTATATCATCAGCATATATACTTAATATACTGGCTGACTCAGTCAATGCATTTGGGAGGTTTTTAATGTAGCATATAAATAAAATAGGGCCCAAAATAGAACCCTGAGGGACCCCTAGATACGTCTGTAGTAAATCTGATTTTGTCTTCTGTATCCAATTGTTTTTTGATAAATAAGAGAGTTCTACAAATTGATAGCGATCCTCCAAATATGAAGTGAACCATTTATGTGCAACACCCTTAATGCCCATTTTAAGCTTGTTTAGCAATACCATATGATCTAAATTGTCAAAGGCCTGCGACATGTCCATAAACGTTCCAGCAGTATTTAAGCCTTTATCAACAGAATCTATTATGGCTTCAATGAGACTTATTGCTGCAGTGACTGTTGATCTTCCAGCCCAGAAACCATGCTGTTCATTGTCAATTTGCTCTGATCTGCTTAAAAATTCTATCAATCTGTTGTAAACTGCTTTTTCATATACTTTTGAAATTGTGGGAAGAACTGATACTGGTCGGTAATTATAAACATCATTTTTAGAATTCTTTTTATGAACTGGTATGATCTTAGCAATTTTTAATTGTTTTGGAAAATAGCCTGAGATAAATGAAGAATTTATAAGATGTGTCAGGATAAACTTTAATTCATCTTTTACCTCCTTTAGAATGGTGACTGATAAGCCATCATAACCAGATGATTTTTTGTTTTTAAAAGATTTGATAATTGAGACTATTTCAGTGTCAGTTACGGGTTTTAGATAAAAATTTGAATTCAATGAAAAATCTATATTGTTGTCATCTTGAGTAGAGAAAGATGGTTGAGCTAGCTTTGTGGTCATTGTATGTGCAAAAAATGAATTAAAGAAGTTGCTTACTTCTTCGGGTCGGCTTATCAGCTTCTCACCATTTTTCAACACAATGCCTTCAGTATCTTTTTGTTTTTTACTATTGTGAATTTCTTTGTTTATTATTGACCAAGCAGGTTTTGAAATGTTAGGTGATTGCTTGATTTTGTTGTTGTAATACTCTTTTTTCGCATTTAAGAGTTCTGATTTATAGTTTTTCTTTAAGATATTAAGATCGTTAAATGTGGGTTGTTTTAATAATCTAGCTCCCTTACTTAAATTAACAATAACATCCCTCTTTAGCTTTAAATC